CCCCTCTCTCTCTCTCTTTCTCACTTTCTCTCACTCAGTCACTTACTCTCTTGCTTCTTCTTTCCTATCTAACATCTATCGTCCTGGTTTCCTCTTCTTCTTCCTTGTGTTTGTTACTCTCTTGTAACCCCTCTAATCTTCGGCACTTATATAGTTACACGACCTTATTGCGTTGCAAGTGCCGTAAAACACCTACTATAACTAAACTCTCTTTCTCCATCACTATCTTTCTGTCGCTCTCACTCACTCTATCTCTCTGTCTCTCTCTGTCTCTCTCTTTTTCTCTCTCTCTCTCTCTCCCTCTCCCTCTCTCTCTCTCTCTCTCTCTCTCTCTCTCTCTCTCTCTCTCTTTCACTATGTCTGTCTATTTCTCCAAATCACACTGAGACTACAACTGTGCTTCATTAATAACGTATGGTGACATGTGGTTGTAAAGTACACAGTGCTCAAAATGGGTATGTTTTCGCTATTTTTTCCAGTTTCAATATTCCTTTCTTCTTTCGACGTCTGTACCCACCGAAGAGACCCCCCCCCCTCTCCCGTTTGTACTTCTTTGTTGACACCCGTCCATTGGCTCTCATATGACCTTGTGCAGTTGCTAGCATCGTAATATCTTACTTAAACTAAACTAAGACGTGTAGGGTTAAAACAATGTTTCTACTCTGGCGTCGTTAGACACTGTCGCCAACTCCGGATGCCCCCCCCCCTCTTGAGTCTCCTCAGTGGGTGCATGGTTGCATGGTGAGTGCTCTGGTGTGGTTTGCTCCTTCTTTCGTAACACACTGTCATCCTTAACTGTCCTACCATCTATGTCTGTTACTCTCTTGTATTAACTCTAATCTTCGGCACTTTAATGACGTTATCGTGTTGCAAGTGCCGTAATACTCTTACGAAAACGAATTAGATGTATATTTTCTTTTTAAAGCTTGAGATAGTTTGAAATACCGTACATTGTGTTTACCTAGCTCCTGTTGACGAGAAGGCTTAACGTCTTTGTTTCCACTGTCGAGCTTCGTTAGACACTGGCGCCTCCCCGGGTTGCCTCCCCTGTGTCCCCTCAGTTTTAACCCTATGTGATCCTTCTCCGTCATTGTGATTTCCCTGGAGGCCTTATTTGAGCCGTCGCTGGGCTCTATCTCTATTGGAGTGGAGGCTGATAGATCGTGTGTATCTCAATCGCGACAATCCCACGACAGTTTACGGACCAAACCGATGTCATTTCTCTCTCGTTAGTCCTCGCCGGCCGAGGGTTTTATGAGAGGTAGTCAAGGTGTTGTGTGGAATTATTACGATGTATATTGTGTTAGGTTGTGTGTGTGTGTGTGTGTGTGTGTTTCTTCTGCCTTGAATGCGGTGTCCAAGGCTTGTCTTACGCCATCACTGAGGAGAGAGAGAGAGAGAGAGAGAGAGAGAGAGAGA